TTCAGACCTACAAACAGTAGGCTACATCATAAGAAAAGAGCCCATGGTGTTAGAGGTTATGTATAATGGATAAAGGATTGGTTAAATAATAGAAGATACACTTTTGGGATAAGAAGACATTTTCAGAATGGCAACCTAGTGGAACACCACAGGGATCAGTGCTAGCACCATAATTATTAACAATGTATCTTAATGAATGGAATGAGGAAAGTGAATGTGCTATAGCCACATAGCAGATGACACAAAAATGTGTGGGAGAGCAAATGACAAGGATGAATAAAGAATACACAGAGATATTAACAGGTAAACTGAGCGGACAGAAACTTGGCAGATGGAATATAATGTGGGAAAATGTAAGTTTATGCAATTTGTCAGAATGAGTAGAGAAGCTGAATATTATTTAAGTGGAGAAACACTGCAGAAAGCTGCAAAACACAGGGGTTTGGGAATCCTCGTCCATGACTCTCAAAAGGCTGGCGTCCGAGTTCAGCAGATGATTGGCTGTCTAGTTGACAGTGAGGAAGCAGGTCTTGCATTGCAGGAGGATATTTATAGATAGGTAAGTTGGGCAGATCAATAGCAGATGGAATTTAACCCTGATAAATGTGAGACTTTGGAAGAAGTAACAAGACAAGGGAATATTCAGTAGTTAGTTAGGTAAACAGGTGGTTGGTTTTGACCAGTGCAGATGAGATGGGCCAAGGCCTTTTACTGTGCTGTACGTCTCCATGTCTCTGAATGGCAGGACACTATGAAGCTTAGAGGAAGAGAAGAATTCTTGCATGTTTATGCATAATCCTTAAAGATGGCAGGGCTGATTAATAGGGTGGTTAGGAAGGCATGAAGGACACTCAAAATTATCAGTTGAATCATAGATTATAATAGCAGGGAGGTTGTCTTGGAGTATAGGACTTGGGTTAGTTGAAATCCTGTATCTATACACAGAAATCTATAGCACAGAAAAAGGCCCTTTAGCACTTTTTGTTCACAGTGGTCAAAAACAACCACCTAGCTCTTCTAATCTCATATTCCAGCACTTGACCCATACCCTTGCATGCTCTGGCATCACAAGTACACATCTAAATACTTATTAAATGCTATAAGAGTTTCTGGTTCTACCACCTTTGCAGGCAGTGAGTTCCAGATTCCCATCACCTTCTGGATGAAAAAGCTTTTCCTCGCATCTCCTCCAAACCCTCTGTCCATTACCTTAAATCTGTGCACTCTGATTATTGATCTCTCCATCTAGGGGAAGAGTTCCTTCCTGTCTATCCTGTCTTTGCCTCTCCTAATTTTATACATCTCAATCATGTCCCCTGTCAATCTCCTTTGCGCTAAGGAAAGCATCCCCAGACCGTCCAATCTCTCTTCATAACTGAAAGTCTCCAGCCCATGTATCATTCTGGTAAATCACATATGCACCCTTTCCAGTGCTATCACATCCCTACTTTAATGTGGATTCCAAAACTGCTCTAGCTGCGGCCTAACCAAACATTTTATACAGTTCCAGCATATCCTCCCTGCTCTTAAACTCTATGCCTTGACCAACAAAGAAAGTATATGTAATGCCTTCTTAACGACTTCATCCACCTGTCCTGGTACCTTAAGGGGCTTGTATACATGCACACCAAGTTCCCTCTAATCGTCAGTGCTCCCCAAGGTCCTACCAATCATCATGTATTCCCTTGCCTTGATTGTCCTGTCCAAAGGCATTGCCTCACATTTATCCAGATTGAATTCCATTTGCCACTGATCAGCCTATCTGATCAGCCTGTCCATATCTTGTTGTAGTCTGACGCTATCCTCTCCACTATTTACCACCCCATCAATTTTTGTGGCATACGTGAACTTCCTAATTAAACCTACATTCAAGTCTAAATCATTTATATAAACCAGAAACAGCAAGGGCCCCAACATTGAGCCCTGTGGCACCCTTCTGGACACAAGCTTCCAGTAGCAAATCTATTCATAAACCATTACCCTCTGCTTCCTGCCACTCAACCAATTGTGGGTCTAATTTGCTAAATTTCCATACATCCCATGGGCTCTTACCTCTGCTATCAGTCTCCCACGTGGGACCTTATCAAAAACCTTGCTGAAGTCCAAGTCGACTACGTCAAAAGCATTGTCTTCATCGATACACCTGGTTACCTCTTCGAAAAATTTAATCAAGTTGGTCAGATATGACATCCCCTTAACAAAACCATGCTGACTGTTCTTGATTAATCCCTGCCTCCCCAAATGCAGGTTAATCCTTTCCCTCAGAATTGCTTCCAGCAGTTTCCCCACCATCGAGGTTGGACTGACTGGCCAGCAGTTTCCTAGTTTATCCCTTGCTCCCTTCTTGAATAACAGTCCCAACATTGGTTGTCCTCCAGTTTTCCAGTACCTCTTCAGTGGCCAGACAGGAATTGAAAATCTTTTCAAGCGCCACTGTTATTTTTTCCCTTCCCACACTTAACATCTGGCCCTAGCAATTTATCTACTTTTAAGCCTGCCAGACCACTCAGAACCTGCTCTTTGTCAATGCTAATTTCTCTAATTGTATCACGCAAGTTCTCCCTGATTCCTATACCCTTTTGTTCCTCTCATTAGTGAACACTGACCCAAAGTATTAATTTAGAATCCTACCTACATCGTCTGGCTCCATGTACAGATTACCACTGTGCTCCTTAATGGGCCCTACTCTTACCCTTATTATCCTTCTACCCTTAAAGTACCTGTAAAATAACTTAGGATTTTCCTTTATTTTACCCACCAGGATCCTTTCATTCCCCTGAATAGCTCTACTGATCTCTTTTCTAAGTTTCTTCTTGCACGTTCTATACTCCTTTATGGCTCCTGCTGTTTTGAACTCATGGTATCTGACATAAGCTGTGTCTCTGCATTTTCAGAAGGATGTGATTGCGCTGAAAGGGGTGCAGAGGCAATTCACTGGGATGTTGCCTGGGATGGAGCATTTCAGCTACGAAGAGAAGCTGGATAAATTTGGGTTGTTTTCTTTGAGCAGAGAAGTTTGAAGAGGAAACATGGTTAAGGTGTTTAAGCATAAAGAGGATGAACAGAAAGCATCTGTTGCCGTCAGTTGAAGAGTCAATAAGTAACTGGCATAATTTTAAGTTGAAAGGAAGGAGTTTAGAGGGGATTTGAGGAAAAACTTTTTACAAAAAAGGGTAAAACTCCTTCAGAGAAACAAAAAATTATGCCAGTTACTTATTGACTC